AAGACAGGACTGTGGGTACTGTGACAATTTTGTTTAAGTTTATGTAGCCCCTTTCAGCTGAAGAATTTAAAAGATATTTTTTGTCCAGATCAGCTTTTCACAAAGTAGTTAAGACACCAGTTTGAGGTCTCTTGGGAGATGCCGATCCCTGTTCTGGGATGAAGCCCTAAAGCTATCAATGGAAAATGCAAGATAAGGAGTGGTCCTGCAGAGCTATTCCCAAACCATTCCCATTCTCACTCCATGGCCCCTTCCTGTGCTCGCTTGTTTCCAGGAATTACTGGCCTGCTGTTGAGAAATGCGGCTTCGCTCTGGTTCCCAGCACGGTCATGAAAGAAGCTGGGGCATCCACATCCACATATGTATTCACTCGGGGAGACGAGCTTCCCCTCACACCTGCTGTGTGGCACAAAGGACCCTGAGCTCGGTAGGGGGCACGGGCCCAGCCTCCCTCCCTGCCTCAGCTGAGGCAAGCAAGTGAACAAAAGCAGGGACTTTCTCTCCCCTCTCCTCAATACTAGTGTCAGAGCCAAGTAGGAGGCAGCGAGCTCTCCACTGTCATCTCTCTCCCACTCTCTGGTCCTCCCTCCCATCTGACAAGGGAGTTTCGCACTGGGACTTCAGATCCAATCACTCTCTGCCACAATCCTTGGCTGCAGCCCACTTCTTTTTTACCTATTGTGGTCCCTGTCTTCCAAGCTGTTAAGATACTTTGTTTTTTAAATTCCTAAACGCTTTTGAGGTGCTGACCTCCAGTGTTGCAGCTTGCTACCTTATTGGAAGAGCAAACTACCAGGCGAAACTTAGGTCAGCCTCATACACTTCATTTCCCTAAGCTCCCTCAGCAGGTAGTAAGGAAAGAGGCCCTTCATGACATCTTTCAGATTTGCTAAATTAGCCCTCTAGTCTGAATCACCTTCTGAATGGACTTGTCATGCTGCATTAACTACAGAAGAAGCCTAAGGACAACCTCTGAGATTAACCTTCAACCCCACACACAGGGGTGGTTGGTACTTAGCATGACAAACTGCATAAAAGCTTCTGAATCAAAGGTGTTAACTGAGAGTATATTACTAAACTACAGCATAAATCACAATAATGGTTATTACATTGTTGTCATTGCTACTAATAACAACAGTAAATAAAGTCTATTTCAGGATTTAAGATTAGAGTGTTTTTTATCTCCCTTGATGAAGTCCATCTACTACTCTAGAGACCTGTAGCATTAATGCTGCAAAGTAGGAATGTGGCTGCCTTTTCCATTGCCTCCTTCTTACTCTAGGAACTTTCTGTTCTGCCTTTACTGTACCACTTTATTGTGACCCTTACATTAAGGTTGCAGAACACTTACTCTTTTGGGGGCAGTAGCTTATTTAGGGAGCTTTCCTGATAAGACAGCAAGTAGCAGTTGTGATAAGACAGGCCCAGTTCAAATTCAACTACTTACAAAACGTTCTTTATCTGAGGGAGTGAATGTTTTCTCTCTGAGACACTCAGTTATGCAGGCAGCGTGATGGACCCCTGTAATCAAAGGAGGACAACAGTAAAGGGAACAAATGTGGTAATTCGCTCCCAGCTAAGGATAAATGGAGACCTGGTCTTGCCACCCCTTTTTGCACTGGGAAGTGTCCTGTTGGGTCAGTAGGACTGCATGCAGCACATAAAGCACAGCACTCATGTAAAATGTTACAGGTGAGATATGACATATTTTAGGATATTTGCACGTTATATCATGAGTCTCAAGACATTTTTCCAGGCTGAAAATTGGCCACTTCACACTCAAAATATAACCAAAATCACATCCTGAATTCGACATAAATCTTCTTACTATATCTTGCCGGAAGACAAGAGGGGAAATCTTTTGCTTTCCTTGCAGCCAGTTCCAGCAACTGCCCAGGTAATCTGGCCTTTGGGACAGGATACTTCAGTACCCCAGTTTGGGTTCTTTCTTGTGTCTTTTTCTGATATATGTACCTAGGGGTTTGTTGTGTTAATCTTTATATGAAGGATTCTACTCCAACCTTGCAAAATCACCTCTCCCCAACATTTCTTCCCAAATCTTCTAGCCCCACAGAAGTTTAAAGACTATTTGCAACAGCAACTCCATGCAATTGCATGTGTCTTTCCAGGTTATTCTAGCTCAGCAGTGTGAGGCCTAAGCCCAAGCAGAGAGTAAAAGAAAGGAAGAAAGAAAGCAAGAAAGGAAAAGAAAGAAAGGGTGAAAGGTCAATAGGGATAATATTGCACTTTGGTCACTACCTCCACCATAAATGCTTTGAGGAAAAAGTGGGAGTTCGTCCATTCTTGCAGCTGGAGATTCCTTTTGCATCAAGCACATCCCCAGGCAGACACTTTGTCTGAGTCCCACTGTGTACCCTGGAGCAACACAAACAACAAAACAACCACCCAGCACTTGACTGAGGCTGAGTATCTAGGTTCCACAAGCATCTGTGCAAAATATAAAAATTAATTTAATAAAAAAGCTAAAGCTTTTCAAGCAGAAAAATCCCCACGTAATTAGATGGGTGCAGAACTCTTTTATTGTGAACAGTGAATTTTTAAGTTGTACATGAAGGGAAAAAAATCAAAACAAAATAACAGTTCCTCTCTCAAAATGCAGTAGTATGCAGGTTAATTATGATTATGAAAAGATTTTTGCCTTTAGTCCACCCCCAACATACAACACTTTACTTTTACTCTGCCTCTAGGACTTCCAATAACAAACACTGGGGAACTGTTAAATTTCTATCAGTTAATTGAAATATTTATTTTATTTTTTTTAATAAGGATTCTTTCTTGTGGTTTTGGTCTTGCAAGGCTTTATCTTCTGAACAGGAAAAAAGACAGTCACTGACCTTTTCAGATGAAAACTTTCATCTTTTGCTCCTGTAGTAGAAATGGTGCAAAGCAGCAAATAAAAAGTGTAACTAAGAAAACAGAGACTGAATAAGTACAAATAAAAAACATTCTTTGACAATGGAGGCAATAATTTCACTGTTGATTGTTTAGCAAGAAAGCCTTCTGTAACTCAGTGTACCCAGAAAGGATGGGGATATTCTTCTGTGAAAGATACTCTGTGTGTGTTTGTATGTATGTTTATACTTAATGTCAAATCTCATTGGACTGCAAATGTAATGATCTTTCTTCAAAAATGCTCCCAGCAAAGGTTTTATAACAGACTTCTATTTTACTACAGGATCACAGATTTTTTTCTTCCATTTGTGTTTCACTAGAGACAATTAGCACAGGCTAAGAACCAAGAGATGACCTCATGTCGGTGACTTCCCATATCACTGTAAAAGATGATAATGGACAAAAAACTGGATTACTACTTTGTGAGAATGCTTCATCTTGAACATGAAGAGTTCATTTTGCAAATTCTCTGTTCTCAGTGCCAATCAGGTGTTGCTCCATCATCTGCAAAGCAAGGGATGAACTGAGTGTGTCTCTGTGTGCAAATGTGACTATCATGCATTTAAGTATTAACTACAAGTCTACTCTGTGCAAGGCCAGAAGGATAATGAAGTACAAACAGGCTTTTGACTTCAGCTGCAGTACTGCAGTACCCCATATGAGCTCTGGGGCCTTAAAGTTCTCAAAGGGACTTTGCACTGCTAGTGGTTACTTTCATGCAGACATCTCTCCCCACTCACCTCTGGAGGTCCTCCTTGCATCCTTAGACACACTTAATTATCCACCACTCCCAAAAGTTTGGAGCATAAAGTAATAGCAGAACTTGAAGTTCTGTCCATTCACATACTCCATAAATAACAAAAAAAAAAGAAGCCATGTAAAGAGAGAGATGGCCTTCCCAGACTGTACTCCATGAAAGCAACCCACCAGAAAAGAGCTGACATAAAAGCTCTTTTCCAGGCCTGTTTATAGCTCAGTCAGCATTTGGGGACAGAGGTAAGAAGGATAAGAGAAATCAGAGAACTCTGTTCCCCGCATGATGGAGCTCAAGGAAGCTAAGCATGACTTGAGACAATCCTCAGGCAGCTCAGGCTTGCTGATGAGATCAGGTATCTCACATGGAAATACAAGAGCATCTTAAAACTCTCTCATTACTCAGTAGCCTAAAAAATGTAACTAACTGTCAAGTAGCATATTAAAAAGGAATTAAAGTTTTTCTTCTGTAATTAAACAATATGAGTGCTTGATCTCCTTTTCAAGGATAGGATTCAGGTTGCTGAGTCCATTAGTGCTTTGAAGAATGTACTGTCAGTTTTCATACCTTTTAATACTCCATTTTCTTCCAAACAATTTCAGAAGCCTGTATAAATCTCCTAGTCTTGTAAACCATATGAAGCATCTTCCTCTTTTGGCAGTGAGTGATAGAATGGTTTGCATGGAGTAATTAATTATTCTAACATTTAAACTAATACTTGGACAAGAGACAGAATCTGGAAAAGAAACTACATTTAGGAAAAAGGGACAATGAAGGAACAAAAAGAAAGGAGAAAAAATTAACGTTACAATGACCACTACCTGAATTTCTGCATAATTCTATTTAGTTCATTAACATAATGTAACTTCTTTGTTCTACTCTTGAGTCTTAATCATCTCTCAGCAAACACATACACACTCATTAAAGTCACTGTTAAAGTAAAACAGCTGAGCATGACAGGGCTGGGAATAAGGTTTTCCCAATGCTTAGCTGATAATTATTTAAAAAAATCAAACTTCTTCTCTGCAACCCATCATTGTGTCAGTATTACACAGATTGAAATAACTGTATACTGAAACAGAACTGAAAAGTGTCGGGAAGTTGAGACAGACAGAATTTAATATGCATAAACCAAAGAGATATTTTCTGCTAGAATCATTTTCTGGAAGATTTCTTTCTACAGACTAAAACTTTTTCTGAATTCACAAGGTTGTTTCTGTGACAAACAACACCTACAGCTGATGAAAATTAGTACAATAAAGAAATATTAAGAACTTGGAATTAACTCAAGAAATTCCAGAAACAGTTTTCACAAACAAATGAGAACACCATGTGTCTGTGTATTAGTTTATTTAATTCTTTATCGCCACTAAGAGCAAGTAAATTATGTTGATACAATTGGTAAACATATACATTCGCTAGAGCCCCCCACAATCCCACAGAGCTAAAGGAAACATTAAGGGATGTTACAGGATTAATGCTTTCATTCTACAATATGGATATATGGCTTTCATACAAGTTTTAAAAAATTGAAAAGGTAACACACTGCTAGCTTACAAAATCAATATACAAACTGAAAAAAAAAAAAAAAGAAGAGGAACAGGAAAAAGAAAGTAACCCATGAGAAGATATCATATAGCACTGGTTTAATAGATATATACAGAATTAGAAATCCATTGAACATGATGTTCAGGCTTTAATTTGTTATTTTTGACTTTCATTCCTTCTTTCAGTTTAACACTCAAACTACAAGTATTAAGATAGTTTCTGTCTTACTTTGATTTTTCCATCTTTTTTTTACCCACTTTCCTCAGTTTTAATTGGCAGAGAAAAAGGCTTTTTCTGCCTGGGTTTCTATCACACCTAACTGAAGCAGTTCGTCCACTTTGAAGCTTTGAACAAAACTCTTCCATGTACTTGGTGTGACAGAAGAGAACATCACTGTGATAGTAAGTCCTTTGGGCCATTTCATTGGCATGTGTTTTGCATTTTCCTTGGACACAGCTATCCTTAAACTGATGTGCTGGCAAGCGGGAAGAAATCTAGCTCTTCATTGTACTTTTCGTACATGACACAGGACAAAAAGCTCTTTCCTTTCAACCATAGCATGAAAATGTGGCAGCACTAGTTGTGATTCACATTTGGAGTTATGCATGCACTTTTCTACAGTTTTACTTTCCCATATATGGATATATATAATATATGCAGTATGTATACATGTGCATTTAGAAAGCTACTGTGTCTGGTGCTGACATCTTCATTAGGTGGCTTCTAGCTCCAAGTTGCAGCAGTACTAGCCTGCCTCTGCTTCAGGTCTCCTCAGCAACCACAACACATTCTGGATTTTCACAGCCATTTCCTTCAGCTGTAAAAGTCTGGATGAGCTACATAATTGTAATATGGGAAGTGCAATGAATGACCTAATGAGAAAAGTTAAATAATGTCTTGTTGCCAGGTAGATTAGGGTGAGGGAATTCAAACAGTAGAATTAATTGACTGAAATTGGCTGTAGGTAAGACAGCCCTGCAGAGACTATCCATTTTCCTAGCTTTTCATCACTGAATTCAGGGTTAAATGTTTTGTACAGTCTTTAACTTTCAATGACCTTCTGAAATGGGAATACTTGTGAGCCTCTGCTTTATCTCATCAGTAAATCCATCCATTGAACACATGCATTCAGTTTTGTCATAGGTTTTGGTTGTTACTGTGTTTTTTCTAAGAACGGAATAAAATCTGCAGGAACAGATTTTTCATACACAACTCACTCAAGCAGAGTTATTTAAAGGCTAGGAGATACCTACTGAGTTTTTTAGACATCTGGGATTCCAAGACACTCCATATTTAAATGGCAAATGGCAGGAAGGGCTAAAGGGTGGTAGAGCCCCACCAATGAGACAACAATAGTTGAATACAGCTGAATTCCCATGTTTTCTTTGAAAGATCTCACTTCTGCTCAGGTCAGAGTGGTGAGCCCACAAGACAGATGGACATTTTTGAAGAGTAGCAGAAAGGGACCATTAGAAAAATGATTAGATTTCAGCATTGTTTAGTTTTGGTCCAAAACCAAAGTTTGATGCTGCTACGAACAAGACTAACTTCACCTTCTCCAAATGCAAACACCCATGGGTGGATGAAGCTCTCTCCTTGCTCTACTTTGCTCAGGCAAGTCTTTCACTATCCCTGAAACTCTATGCACCATGCCTCTTTCCTTTAAATTAATGATAAAAGAGAACAGAGGTAAAGGAAGCAGCTTCTTACCACTATTTATCTAGCTAAGATACTTTTCTTTTGAGGGCAGACACTCCTGAATCAGTGTCTCTAATTTTTGAGATGATCATTTGATCATTTCTGTCCCCTAGGAAACCTTGCCCAGGTTGGACTATGACAAAGGTTTTACCAGCAATCCACCCTCCCAGTGAATCCAGGGAATCTCTTGGCTCATTCTCATACTTCCTTGTTTACTGTCATCATCTGATTAACAAATTGCCACTGTGTCTTTTAATCTTAGGACATGGTTGGCGGTACCTGATGGTATGGGCTTCCTGGGGCTGTTGTGCAACAATCCAGGAAGAAATGGAGAAAATAGCCTCAGGGATGAGGAAAGATCAGCAACATCCACAGAAGCTTAACTGAGAGGTAGAATGCCTTAGCAGAATTGACAGAAAACCTATAAATGCTATCAAAATTACAGATGAGTGGGGGAAGGCTGGAAACAGGTATAATCTGTCTCTGCAAAGGAGAGAACTCAATCACAAGTCCACAGGAATGCTGTCCTGGAGAATTGAAATAGATTGAATACAAGATACTTCCTATGCACACTTCCTCTTCTTTTAAGAATTTGGGAGATATGAAAGACTATCTGTGTCATGCCAAAATGGTGTACCTCATCAATATTTTGTTTTAGAAAAGTGGTGAATTTACATTGTTAATGTTGTTGCAGCTCCTAGAATGAAAGAAAATCAGGTTGGTTTTTGTCCCACCCTCAACATTGACATTAGCCTCAGAAAGCTCAGAAGTTTTCATCATATGTTAAGGAATTTCATTAAACAAGCAGGAAATGTTTGTCTTCAGATGCTCCCTGCTAGCAGCATTATTAGATTCAGGGGGTTTATAGGCCTGTTTTCATAAACAGTCTTCATCAGTATTCACTTCCCCTTAGTTCATCCTAATGCTCCATTGTTTTACTTGAATTGTCCACTGCCACGTGCCAAGTGGTGAAGGATATACACCAGAGTTAAAGAAGGATGTTATGTTTTCTCCTATCAATGTCAGCATACCTTGCACTCCTAAATGGAAAATATAGACATACTATTGTCTCCTTTGACTTTGCCTCCAGATGAACTCTTTCTTTGAGGTTGGAGTGGGACTTTGCTTCTCTGTAACACTATACATTTGATTAGTTTTCATTAAGGCACAAATCAAGGAAAGCATAAAAACAAATGTGCCAACCAGTAATTCTGCTTTCTGTACTTAAGGAGCATGCAAAAGAAGTTTGTATAAAATGCTCCTGACTTTATATCTGTCTCTTCTTGACAGTCTCCAACATTGTCTGTTGATACATTTTATAATTATTATTCTTTCATTTCTTCTAATTTTTTCTCCTTTGAAAAACAGTTCAGCCCAGAATGTCATTATGGAATTAGAAGATGAGAATCAGTAAATTACAATTTAGTATCTACCCACATGTACAAATGTTTTCCCTTCCTGGAGCCTTGCCCTGCACTTCTGCTGCACTTAATAGACTGTTAAATAAGCCAGGCTCTTTCACTATGGGCACTTCTGCCAGAAGACATGAAAAAGTCAGAAAATGTCCCAATGCTCAAATACAGTTTTGAGTCAAGATATAGGCAGGCCTAACTGCATACAAGCATTGCCTCAGCCTATGCAGAGAAAGGAAATATATCCAAATATACCCTAAGTTTAAACTTTCTAGAATCCAGAGTCTAGATGCAGATTCATCCTTAGCTGATGTTCAGCAATTCAACCCGCTTTTTCCAAGAGATTTGAGTGCTCAGAAAAAGGCTGTCATTTGGGGGATTTCTATCACCTCCCCATACTATATTATAGCTGTAGCATATGAAGATGTAAACCACTCCTTGAGAGGGACATTCATGAAACAAGCTTCTGTCAGTTAAACTAGTAAGCTATACATCTATGCTAAGTCATTTGCCATTGTAACAGGATAGCACCACGAGGGTAAACACATATTTCATCTGAAGTAGCCGCTCCCACAGCACTATCAGAGAAGCTTGCCCTCCCAAAGGATGGAGAGGGTAGAAGATTAGAAAGCAAATAAGGAGAAATTTCAGCATGACTGAAGTAGAAACTGAGCAATATGGGTGGGAAGAGGTTTTGTCCAGATATTTGCCTTTTGCTTTGTTGATAATGTCACTAGTGAAACAATGGCCCCATGTAGGTACCAAGTACCTACTTTCAGAGCTGACCTTACTGACCTATTCAGTCTTCCTCTGTGTTCTGCCACAAATTACTTTTACCATCTCCTGCATAGCTAGAGTTTCCACTGAATTTCTTGTGCTAGTTTATTGGAAATTTTCTTAATTTTAAGTTTATAAACTTTAACTCCAAGTGCTGTCAACAATAAGATGCCAATAGAGATCCAAAAATATGTGGATGAGTAGTACATAGGAAATGTTCTCCTATTTCACACCCTTTGCTACCAGGACTGCTGCATTTTCTTCTGGTCCTAACATGGTATTTTTTTGTTTTGTTTCTTTGTTTTCTGTAAACTCTCCCCATGAAGGCCCTATATCACCATAGGAACTTGACTGGCCTCCTTCAAAAACTATTAGGAATGTTCCTTTAACAAGCCAGATGGGCAGTTAAACAAAAGGGCCATAAGGCATCAGAGGGAACACAGGGGAACTTTTCTTCTTACTCACAAAGTTGGAAATTAGAAGTCACATCTAAGATTTTGACTAAAAGATAGTCAAAGTGTTGGTCTCAGCATCATTCCAAATTCCTGCCAGCTCCCTATGAAACATGGACTAGATTAACCAGTGTAAGACAATGGTGCAACAGTGTTTGCACTCAAAGCTGAACCACTTTAAGTGAACTGATGCAGCATTTAGACAGACAAACCTTTGGTGAGTGAAAAAGTTTCTTTCTCCCTTTGCTTTCAATCAGACCTACCATCCCACTAGTTTAAATCTGAGGCACAAGCACAGGTAGACCTGATTATACCATGAACAAACCAAATAGCACCCAGAACCACCTAAATATGAGCCTTTGTGATTTTAGATTTGGTCATTGCACATCCACCACATGTGGGGGACATTTTTTAACTGCACCTGGGGCTCAGGTATGTCTAACAGCATAGTCAAATTAACAAGGACATCAACACAGACTGTAAGACACACCCAGGGAATCTGGGAGATAATTGTGAGTCTAGTCTACCTTAAGCTATGTGCAGCCTTGGCTAGCTGGCTTCAGAAGTGTTTGGGAACATCTACAGAAGGACTTGCCTCACCGGGAGTCCGGATCAGCCGTACCCTCCATGTGAGAAAAAAGAGGGCAAGCTCTGCAATTGTTATAAAGTTCTTGCATAGAAAACAGTAGTGATGTTAGTCTGGACAAAGACTCTCTGCTTGTCTACAAGCTAATCCCAAGAGAGCCCTGTGATTTACTCAGACATAACACACCCTGCTGCAGCTTTGCTGAAGTCAGTGGATACCATGCAGGAGTACAAGGGAGACTATTCCTCTTGAGCAGCAGGCAAGCCTGCAGCCTACACAAGTAGCAAAGCTTATTTCTTGCTGTTGAATTTAAAGATTTAGAATTTAGAAGCAATGATTTTGAACTTAGTTTGGGTACTGAAATCCCTTAGGTTTCATCTAAAAATTTTGGTCTGCTGGTTGTCAGCTTGTTAAACAACCCTTTAGCTTGGGACAGACCAGTGCTTTTCCAGGTTTTTTTCTACTTTGTGACTTTTCTCAGGACTCAGACTCATTTAGATTAGGTAAAATTGAACAAAACTGAAAACGAGCTGGCTATATTTTTCCTTCCCCCCTTCCCCCCCCGCAGACTATTTAATAAAAAATCCCAACTATTGTTATGTTGACTGAGTTTTTCCAAGGTCTTTTTGCTTATGTAAAAATGAAAGAAAGCAAAAGGTACTGCTTTTGTATTTCCTTTCTGTTTTACTAATAGAGAAACAAAATTTCATTTCATTCCTATTTGTTTCAAGTCCCACAAGTTGTCCCTTTTTGATCAAAATTATGAACTACCTCTGGCAGTTTCTAAACAGATTTCTTCTGTTATTTCCCACCAGACATACTATTTTTCAACCAGCTATAATTAAAATAAACAGGAAGATTGCCACTGATAAAAAAGGGAGCTGGGTCAGGCAGAATCACAACAATTTCAACTAGATCTTTTATGAAAAGGTTATTCTCCCTTCTGGCAAAATAAACAAATAAAATAAAGCATTTTTCAGCTCTTATAGGTAAAACAGAGGACACTACCTCAACACTGACATGTTAAAAAATGGAAAGTTTTGCTATTATTCCACTTGGAAAAATCATTGCTAGAAAATAATGAAAAATTAGGACTCTTCTACGTTCAGCCATTGAAAGATTTCAGATTTACTGCCAACATCCAAAACATGGCCAAGGAAAGGAGTGTTACTGGGTTTTATCAGCAAATGGTGACATCTTGGAATGAACATTCACCACAAATCCAAGAAAATTTTGTATTTGTAAATACTAAACAAAATGCCCCCATCCTTCCCTTAAACAAACAATTTCATAGACTTATCTAGATGTAATCAGAAATTAAGAAACAAGCCTCAGGTTTTTTTAGATATAAGGTCCCAGTCTTAAATATAAATGCATCCAGCCAGAGTCCTGTATTCATACTGGCTTCAGCAGAGCTCCACACGGGCTCAGGTTCTGCTTGTATGGACTAATTACCAGATTGAGACCTATGGCAAGACTTGAGAAAAAAAATATTTTAAAAAGGTCTACATTGTTCAATATACAATAAAAATAATTTTCTAAATGAGTTTGGAGTCTTTATTACAGGCCTCTAAAAGTTGTTGTTAGGGTTATACATTAAAAATACTAAAGTAATAAAAAAGGATTTTTTTTTTCTGTGTTTGCTTGTTTCCTTCTATGGTACCATTAAGCTATAAATAATTTTAGGATAAAATGCCTAGGTATAAATGAAACTGTTAACTGATCATGTTTGCTGATGTCCCTTTCTCAAATTGCCCAAGTTGACTCCATTAATCCAGCATCTTCTCTTGTTTCTTGCCTTCCTTTTTCTTCTTCTTGGATTCTGTCAAGATAACAATAACAATACAAAAATTAGTGTCTAGCAGGCACAGCAATAAGTTTTATTTAATACTTCTGAAAGTTCCCTTTTTTTCTTCATGCACATAAAAATTGTTTCCTCATTTTGAACAAAGAAAGGGAAAAGAGAAGGAAAAGAAGAAAAAAAGAGGAAAGCACTAGAGAAGGCACTAGAGAAGGGGGAAAGGGGATTCTGTGTCCTGTTCAGAACCCTTCCTATCTGAGTGGCTGACCCTGCTTGGCATGCAAAGCATTGTCTCAGAAACTTGCTTCGAAAATAAGAAAACAGCAGGCGTCTCCTGGAGAAACCAGGTCATGGCTCAGTGGAGAGCTGGAAGAAAGCTTTGCACACACTACCCACACACATACCCTTCCCTTGCTTCCTCTCTGTCTCATTGTTAGTCTTTGGCTGTCTCTGAATATGAGAGCAACTCCAGAGCATGGTGAGAAAGCTCACTTGTTTCTTCAGCTCCTCCACTGCCAACCCTTCCCCCTTTGTCTGGGACAAACATCTACGTACTCTCAAGAGGCAAACGAAGCTTGGCCTGGAGTCATTAGAGCATGGTCTGTCCACACAGCTGGTACTGTGGATAGGATGAGGAAGGGTCTAAGGATCTCCTGCCTCTCTGATTAATTTGGGAGCAATAAGGGAACAATATGAATGTACTAGTGAAAATTTATATATTATATTACCATCTGCAATAACAGTCACTGCACTCTAGGGTAGTGTGGTATTCTACAGGTAAAGCAAATTCACCAAGGCATCTAAAAAATTAATATGAATTAAGAGGATTGGGTGCTCTTGTGTCACATGTCACCTTGTAATGGGGAAAATAACAGTTCTCACTGGGAGCATGAATAAATCCTTGTGGATTCCAGCACGAAAACCAACATAGCAGGTGCCACGGAGAGACAACAAATGAGCTTCAGGTGGTATTGTTCTTTGTGAATGTGATTCTTTCCTCTCTGAACCATTTGGATAACACAGATAGTCTAGTAAACATCAGTTCTGGTAAAACCAACTTATTTTTATTAAAGCCAAGGGAACTACACCAACATCTTTCAGCTATGGATAGGGCCAGGTACCTTCAACAGAAGGCAAATTTAGGTTGTCACATTTCTCTGATGGTTATTTTTCCTGTTTGCCAGTGTTTCAAACCAACAATTTTTCTTCACCTTTTTCAACAAGACAAAAATTTTTTCCAATATTCCTTTAGTCAATGCAATATAAAACACTTTTTTAGTGTTTAGTTGTATAATCTCTCTAAAATCTCTTTCCTTTAAAAACTTTGCTTAACATTTAAAGGGATAATAATTTAAAAGAAGTAATTTCATTTGAAAATGAACAATTTTTCCCCTCCTGCCTTTGTATGTGTCTGTGTGTGTGCTTGCATGTGTGTATGAACGTCTGCAGTCTGGAGCCATTCACAGAATCTGACGCTATTTTACAATCTGTCGCTCGAAAAAGCCATTTTTCATTAAGTTAATACCTAATTTGCTTTCAGCTAAAGCTTTTTTTCCCCTGCAAATTTCCTGTATCCTCCTGAGCCTCTTTTACCTACATCCTCCACTTCCTCTAATTTTGCCTCTGTATCACTGACCCTTCTGTATTCTGTAATGATTGTGCTCTCTTTCATGCTCTCTACCCCCCCACATCACCACTTTCTCAGCACTCGAATCTGTAAAATCTATTTAGACCCAGCACAAGTGTAAGAGTACTATGCAGACTTCAACCAAATTTACTAGAATGAGATGTGTAAATGCAGACAGGACCCCTACTGAAGAGTATGTGGAGTTCATGGAAGGGATGAAGCGACCACTAGGAGAAGGCTTTGATCTGGAGTCATGTGATCACATCAGGTCCCCATACTCATAACTCCTTCCAAATTATCCTTGTGATAATTTGCACATCATCCAAACTGCCAAACTCATCTACCTACAAAGACAAGTGACTGTGCTTTGTGCCTCATCAGGGTAAAACTGTTATGTGCCAGATGTAATTCCTCCATCATTAAAGGTACTGGCACCACCACAGAGTTGTCTTTCAGGCAGGTAAACTGGATTGATGAAAAGCATATTTGCTATGTGAAATGACACGCACACAGAGAGTTGCAACAGCATAAAAAAAAAAAGAAGAAGTCTGCTCAAATAATTCCCAGTCCTTAGGTTCTTTTAAAAATCATAACACAGACACCAATAACCATGTACTGACCTATGAAGATGTTAATGTTCATATGCTTATGCACAAGTCTGCTCACAGCCACACTACCTGTTTTGATTATGATCACGCTACAGACAATGGTCCACAGCAAACAAAGTATAAAGTTGCATTAAGATGCACTTTGCTCATGTTTCTTCATTGCTTAGGCCTACTCTTTACATTTGGGACATTCAGGCTTTTATTGTCCTCATCTCTCTTTACCATATGCTACTATTTCAACTTCTATGACATACTATCAGGTCAGCTCACACAGCCACACTGGGAACCACATCACCCTGATCAACTCACCAGTGTTATCCTTCCTGGAGTAACCAGGCATGACTGGAAGGGTTGCCATGTGCTAGTTCTGACACCGTGCTCCAAAGGCTGACCAGCTGAGTGTATAACGCCAGTTATCTGGAAGCTCAACAGTCCCATAGTCCAGCAACAGCTGTAGGATCTGGCAGTTAAGTGAGGGGAAGATCCCCTTGATACACTGTGCACAACAATCCCATACAGTTTCATATTCCATACGTGAAAATTACAGAAATTCAATTCAGGTTAGCACAGATCAGAGGTAATACCTTCGGTTCAGCCATTTCCTACCTGGCATCTTAATGTGGTCCCAGCCTGCCATCAGAAATTGTAGTAATTCATCAAGCAGTGCCCATCAAGCCAGTCTTTATGATGGGGAAGCCACTAAGCTGATCTCCATATCTCACTGGCCCTGCAAAGCAGCTCGACCACAGCAACACTCACCACTGAGCCAGAAGGAAGCAGGAAAATCTGCACAGTGACAGGGACTACCTTGAGCAGACTACCTTGACTGTCATTTGAAGGCACTTTGGGCCAACAGCAGCGTTTTTCACCTCGCCTGCCCCATTAAGTGTTATATTTCCAAAGACAGACTATGGATCTGTGCACCAGCTGTCCATTGCCTACAGGGAACATGTTTGCTGAAGACAAGTGCTACCAATTATTTTGAGAGCTACTATGGCAGAACCACATGACCAGATGAAATTCAGGTTCATGTCAGCTCACACAGAATTTTAATCTGAACCTGCTCACTGCCCTATTTGTTTTTAAGTTAGGTGGCCCAGTTGAGCCAGACAGCAGTTGGATGTGCCTTTATGAGCTATTTGTAGTAGAGTTCAGGATCCAGAGAGGAAGGAGCAAAGTTAAAATCAGGATGATAATCCTGTATTTCAGAAGAGGAGACTTTGGTCAGTTCAGGGACCTGCTCAGCCAGGCTATGTGCCTAACTGTGAAAGAAGTATCCTACAAGTAATTTCTGGTTCATGGTCCACAAACTGGAACATCTCAATATAAAACCTTATGAAAAGTATGCAAACGTGTTTGATACTTATACTTACATTAATTTAAATACATTAAATGCCTTATCAAAAGTATTTCTCCTACAGATACCAATACCACGGCCAGCACTTATGTATCTCTCAACATTTGAGGTGAACAGGCTTTGCAGAGGAGGGACTAGACAAGGGTAGCTGTTTGCCTGCTGTTCCAAGAGCACCAAGAGCCCCAGACAAATCATCTGGCACAGTTCACACAAAGCCACACTGAGAAAAGTAGAAGTTATGTCTTCTCACTGGCTTCCTTCACATCAAGGAAATACTTACGTTTCCCCTCCCTGTGCCTCCTTGCAGCAAAACATAAGTACTGGAAGAGTGAGCTACGTATGCTTCCGAATATTAACAAGGATGACAAAACAGTCCTCAGTTTTTGTGTGTGTTTTACTGCATACACTTTCCTTCTTCCCTCTTATCCCACAGCGAGGGGCTGCCTAGCCATGCTCTTGCTCATACAGAGGCCAGGATCCTGGACCAGGGCACATGCAAAGAGCAAATTCCAAAGGCCTGGCAGTCCTTGCAGTGTGCAACACCTAAGCACTGCTCAGCCATTCTACTCCCTTCTGAAACCAACACACTTCTTGCAAGATAAAAAACAAACAGCGCTGCAGGAAAAAACTGTGTCAATGCACTGACACTGTATTATCTGATCATTCATCACCTGAATAACCCTACGAATTGTTTTATGCCTTAGAATTAGTCCCAGGATTAAAAATCGTGTAGTCATGGATTAGCACTAGACCCATTTCTGTGGGCCCATGATGACCAGTAACAAATACTCCAGTCAGGATCTTACCAAGTAAGCAAATGAATTTTATAAGCAGAACTTTCTCTATGAAGTTTGGAATGGCAGCAGTCCTCTTTAAATAGTCATCTTTATTCCAGAGCCTCATTCTTACTATGCAAGCAGCAAATGAAAGCAATTTAGCTGAACAGGAGCCACACACCATTTGAAGCCAGTCTTAATGTATAAGGCACAAAAGAGAGGTAATTACATTTTAATGGAAGTCAAGCTTTGTAAGCCAAGATTTGCAGGCATTTATTTTCATTTGTTGAAAAGAAGGTAACAATTCACTCATGGCACTGCTGAACACCTGTATGTAAAAGTCAAGCAGTGTCCCTAAGGCAATATAAATCATTCAAAATTGCAGAAGTTGGGCTGAGGAAAGGTTAGAGTAAAAAAATTCCACATCAGATGTTCAGGACACAGTTTTGCCAGGAACTAGCATTCAATCCTACTGAACACAGAGCAAGGCATGTTTTTGAAAGGCCTCTCTACCTCTCATTGGAGCAAATTTTCCGAAGCACCAGGTTGCTGTGCTGGTGCAGAGAGCTTCTGAATTTTGGGGATGAAAGGCCAATGCACATGGAATGGACTTTGATGAAATCAAGGATTTTATCCTTTAGTGAAGAAAATCT